ATCTCTTGAGTGTCATCTGAACAACCATTTGAGGATGCTGCAAAAGTAAAAGCGAGTTTAAGTTGTACCTCAAAATTCAGATATTCGCAAATTCTAAAAAAATTCAAACTTTTCAGCAGCAAAGTAGAATGAAAAATAAAGTCTTACAGTTATCTTCCCTCAAACTGCCACTGAAATTAATCTTCCAAGTTACAAGAGATGTGGCTACAGTCAATATAAGTTATTTAGAAGGACACTGAATATGCATTTGGTTATTTGGGAATGACAAAGGAGGTTTCATTTTTAATGTTCATAAGTCATCCAAATTAATTAGTGCTTAAAAATGGCAATGAATCACTTCCCACAATAATCTATATAGGGGAAATTAAATCCAGTGAAAGGAGCCAATTTGCTGATTGCAAATTATCCGAGTGCCTGACTAGCTCATGTGTATGTTGTGTACCATTTATTAGGCTACTGGGAAAGAAAGGATGGATACTTCTTATCAGCGACCAGATTCAGTCCTATTGCATAGCCAGTTTAGAAATCTAATTTTTTCTATGATAAAGAGTTCAAGTCAGACACTATCAAGAAATAAAGCTGAATGAAGAAATAAGCCGAAAATCATTTCATCAAGAAATAAGCTGACAAATAAATAGAAAAAACCTTGTTTTCTGAAGAGATGCACCAAAAACCTGTTGGAAGAGAACGTTGCCATCTTAGGTTAACAAAGAGAAGTTCAAGGATACAAGACTAACTATGAAGACACTTCTTGGTTAAAATCTGCAATGCTGTTCTCAAAAGATCTGTCCCCCCCTTCTCCCCACCCCTAATAATATAAAGCTTAACCTTAGCCAATTTACCTGGCATTTTCCTGCTCTTATCTGCATCTCCTCTGCGGTATCAAAGCCCCAATATTTCTGCTCGAGAAATCTTTCCCTGGCTAACCTGCTTATCTGCAGTAATGAATACTCATGCAAACAGGTACAAAATTAAATGGCTTCTTTACAGCGATTATGATAGATTGAGCCACACTTAATCTACATAATCAAATTGCTTCTGTGTTCAGCAGTAATACCTTTTTTGCTTTCCTGGAAGCAGGTTTAGCATTGGTTGCCCTTTTTACAGCCATTTCTCTTAGAAACACTAAGTGTGACCAGGAAAGGGGGTAGCATTACTTGAGATGTAATACAACGTAAATGAACGAGGTGCACCCTGAACTCTGCAATATGGCAAACCAGGTCTGAATGAAGGGTATCCCCCTTAGAAAAAGGGGAAACATCATGAAAGACATAAGGGAAAACTCATCTTCTCTAAAAACTACCTGTGTATCAGCTGTCAGTTTTAGACAGAACTAGAGATACCCTCCCACGAGAAATAAAAGATGCATCTACCTGCCTAGCTGCACCGAGCTACTACTGTAATTTCCCTTCCCTAAGCAGGAAAGTCTCGAGGATGCTTACGTCCTAATGAAACAGGAGAATGTACTTTGCAATCTCAAAAGCAGGTCTAGGTTTCAAATAAAGTTGTCTAAATCTTGCTTAGGTGCTAGCAACAAAGGATGACACAGGCAATGTGAGAAAACCTTTGATTTGTGAAATAAAAGCGTTTGGTTCATGAAAGGTTCCGAAATGTATCCTTAACTCTGCTTCTGACTCACCATATTACATTATCAGATCTAAGGGCAAAAAATTTCCTGAATTTCCTTCTACTTATAAACACGGATCAATTTTTTGAGGAGAATAAGTGAGAAATGGCATTCCCCACAAACGATAAACAAGTGCCTTTTTTTTTTTTTTTAAAGTCCATTTACCTTTCTCCAGAGTGCAGCATTAGAACAAGTGCAGCCAAGGTTTGCTTCCTCATCTACACATTGAGAATTTTTTTGAAGAGTCCAACACAGAAATGAGTAGCAGCTTGTATACTAGTGTTTCTAAACATTACCTGAATGTAAAAGCTGAAAAGTGAGTAAGCCTGATGCAAAATGGTAATAAATATGCACAGAGAACAATTTCTCTAACTCATTATCTCATTATAGCTTTGACACATGTGGAAAGAGCATGCTGTACAGGCCTGTGCAGCTGGAGAGGTGACAGCTATAGCAGAAAAGTCTCTGCATCTTCGTAAGCGAAGGAAGACCAAGACAGAGGAGAGGGGAAGCAAAAAAAAAAAAAAAAAAAAAAAATCTGGCAAGGGCTGCTGGCACAGCTTGACTTTGGCTCAGGAGGAAGTAAAAGCTTGAATCAAACAAAAATAGATTTAGGAAAGAACCAGTGACATTTTATCTGGAAGTTTTCATTGGGTTTTAATTAGGATCCAAGAATCTGCACTGAAATGCATGAAGTGAAGGAGTACATGTACTTACGCTTCCCAAGATAACTGACAGATCTGAAATTTCATCTCTTCTCAAAAGGTTAATTAAAGAACTATCCACGAGAGCAGCACCACAGGGGAACGGAAGAGAGACTGCTCCAGTGGGAGACCTGAGGAGGAGCCAGCACGCAGCACCTGTATCTCCCTCCAGCAGAAAGACTCAAGTTAGTGAACTGAACTTAATACAGTGACCACTGCCATGGAGACAAACAAGACGTTCTTGATACCTTGCTGCACAAGTTCAAAACCAGTACACCCACAAGAGCATAAAGCCTACCCACAGTGTTCACCACGGCTCTTGGGCAGGTGCTGTGGCCCGTGCAGAGATCTGTGGTGCTGCTCGGCTGAAGCTGCTGGACACGTGTACCCTGAAGTAAGGCAGGCATGATCACCTCCCCTGACGATAAGATTTTTCACTGCTGGGAACTAAAGCAGAGTGACTCCCTCAGGATCAGCCTGCAATTAGGCCAGAAATAGGACGTAGGTTTCTCCAATTCCTATGCATCCTTATAGCACCGCAATGCAAAAGCCTTGATTAGTTCATCCAAGCATCATTAAAACATATGCCAGCTTTTAGGGAAGTCTCTATATACAAAGCCCATTTGAAGAACCTATTCCAATATAAGACATTTTATCATAACGAAAAATAAGGAGTTTCATCCTTTGAGCAAGACTCTGTGGATTTAAGTGACCTTTGTCTGTGCAGTAATTTAATTTACCAAGAACACGAGTAAAGTCTCAATTAGGTCTGAGTAGACCACTGCACCACTACAAAGGGGAGAGATATGTGCGGATGCATTGATGAAGAGTACTTCTTGTCTCAGGGGAAACTGGAGGTATGACACAAGGAAACATTCAGGCCTCTTGGCAAAAGCAAGTCGCAATGGTTGTTCAGTATGTAAAGCAGGATGGCAGGCACACTGCAGAGAGGAGTTAAAACACTGAAGCAAAACACTCAGCTGGTGCCTCTCAGATCACAGGTAGCTTTTTGCTACCTTCTTTGCAAACTAAAGCAAAGTAGCTGTGGTTGCCACAGGGGAGACAGATACTAATTTAAAAGAAGTCCTGAGAAAAGTAGAGGAATGATGGACAAAATCAGAACGGTGACAGATTCTGTATGCTACTTAACTGAGTGAAATCGGAATTTTTTGGGTGGTCTTCATAGGCCTGATTTATCTGTTACTAAATTGCTACATTTTTGTTGTACAAAATTTTTCATTTTAGTTGCAAGTAACTCTTTGACAGCCCTTGGTAACTGTTCAAAAGTTTCTCAGTTGCTTAAACAGAAGGTTTGTCAGAGTAAAACATGACAATTGGAGGAAAGGCTGTGATAAGAACGGGAGGACAACAGAAATAACACAAGGGGTGGGCCATCACTATTACTCAGATGCCTACTGAAAAGTTCCACACGAGGTTCAAGTGGGCAGGACAACACAACAGAAAATAAAGCAGTAAAGAAAATTAAGGAAGAGACATTTATAGATGCACAAGTTCCTGCAGTACATTTTATTCAGCAGAAATATGGATTATATAACTTCCAATATCCACTCTTCACTTGAGACATGACATCCGTGTATACCGAGTCCTCCTAAATCCCCGGGCAGAAAAAAAGCTAGCAAAGCTGTGTCATTTAGTCCCATTTTTTACCAAACCAAAGCAGCCTGCTTCCTACTCATAAATCACAGGTGCAATCTTTGAATTCAGATGCATTCAGATGTTTTTTCAAATCTAAAAAAGGTTCAATTTTGATTCGGAAGCATCGATCTGGAATAAGTTTATGCTAGTGACACCTGAATCACAATTGCAGGGACAGTTTCTTCACATTTAAAGAGATTGGTAGATGCTAACCTTCCAAAACACTGTCTTTCTGACTGCAGTGTCTCAGGACATCAATTAGGCAATGCTCCATTTTAGCTATTTGAAAGATTGCATATAGCGAATGATCTCCAGTGAAGTATCTCATCTGCAAACACTTACATACAAGAGTTATTTGCTCAAATTTCTTATAAAAGGTTTTCAAGAACACTTGGAATTTAAAAGCAGCATTCTTACTCGCCAAAGCAATACCATGCCTAAGGGACGCTCTCACAAAAAGTGCACCAGGTACGCTTGCAGCATTAGCACACCCATTATATATATGAATTAGCTGTCACTGAAATAGTCATCGAGTTAGCTGAAGCCTGGGCTTACCTCATTTACTTATTTACTCATCTACACATAGAGCCTGTATTTCCATAAGCCAGCTCTCACAGATAGGTAACATCTAAATAAGGTCCACAGTGAATATCTAAGAGCCTGCAGGTGCCTTCATTCAACCAAACAAAAACCCTGCTAACGCGCATGCAAAAAATTAAATGCAATGCTACTTTGGGGATTTCAGATGCAAAAGTAAAGAAATTCAGACACTCAGGTGGAACAGTTAAGAACACAACATACAGCAGCCTCCTGTCCTCTGGGCATTCCCCTCCCTCCCAGCCCAGAGCACTTCAGCAATCCTGCAAATCTTCACTTTCTAACATCAACCTGCTCTGCAATATTCACAAACAGAAAAACACCAAGTGCAGTCAAACCTTCAACACTGCCATTTCCTAAGTGAGCAGGAGGCATTCCTTTAGCACCCTCCTGGGGAGACAGAGCAGAAAACTTACCCCATCTGGTAGTGCCCTCCAGCAGACAGCACTCACAAACTCATTGGTGTCATCTTCTTTCCGGTCCTTGTCCAGGACACTTTTGACTGTATCAAACTTGAATGTTAGCAGTGTCTTTGAGAGGCCCTTATAGTATAGGTAAAGGGAATTATTTTCGCTTCCTAGAAATAAAAAGTAAATACACAGGATTACGTGCTGGAAGCATGTACAGATAAATAATGAAAGAGCCAAGAAGCTTTAAGTAAAGGACAATAGATTTCCTCCTCTTAGTTATCATCTCACCACAAGTGGTTGTGGTGCCTTGATAACTGGGATTGCTCCACAGCAAACATTCAGGTCACTTAAAATTAGATTCAGGCTTTATTAAAACACAATTGCAGTATGCAGAGCACTTGCAAAATATACAGGATGCTAACCTTACTCCACAGCTTCCACAGGGTATAGCACTCTGCCCGAGCAGAACAGGGCATCTCCACTACAACATGAGACACTGTTACAGCCAGTCTCCTCAATGTTACAGCTATGATGCAGGCAGGATTTTCAGTTTTTGCTTGTGGTAATCAAGTATGACAGTTTGGTCTGTGGAGGCTTGAGTAAGAAGCACTAATCAGAGTATACTTGCTTTGAAAACCATCCCAATTTCTGCCTTGCAAGCTGTGCAAACCTCAGAAAATACACAAGATAAGGTCCTCTCATAAGTGCTGGAATGGGTGTCCTACACATCCCATGGTCATGAGCCTATCACTGTTTTCTCACCTCTGGATTTACAGGTTCAACAGTTCAGCTTAAGCAGCAAAAAGACAAACTGCTAGAAAGCTGTTCAGAGTGAGGGTGTTATGGTTTTACCATTTTAGAATACTGTATTAAATGACAACTACAGGACCACTCAAGTGACCCAGGCTACTGTATTTCCTTAGAAAGCTGCAGGAGGATCGGTCAGTTTATCACCTTAAAAGTCAGAGCAACAGCAACTACGTTAGTCGTCAATTTTTGGTGACAAGAAGTCTGAATCATCATGTACAAAGAACCCACCTGAAATGGAGGCAACTAAGTACAGACTCCCTTAGCTTAAGGCTCTTTACGCCATTCCCTGGGAAAGGGAGAGGAGGGTGGAAGCTCAGAATAATCCTCCATAAAAGTCCATCCAGCTACTTGGTACAATTCCTTGTGTGCTTTGCAACTGGAGAGGGAGAAGCTCTGCAGAGCCATATAAGCATTTGCCTGGACGGCTGCTCTACTCACCACAGGCAATGTAGTCTCCATTGGATGCCAGCCCTACGAAGTTTTTCTCGTTGATGTGACCCTTGAAGGAGCGCAAGCAGTGAGGCTTCCCTACGTTCCACAGCTTCAGCTGACTGTCTGTTGACCTAAAAACAACACCTATAAGTTACACTGCTGCCACATGGCAGGTAATCCTAGCTTGAAACACTGTTCCTTAACACTCTAACTCGCAACATAAAGTCTTGGTGCACTCCAGGAGATTTATCCCACTTTCAGTCATATGCAACTCTGGCTGAACTCAGAAGGGTATCACATTATTTCAAAAGCCTGTCAAAATACATTACACATTTGAGTAAAACACTTTGCTGAAGTATTACTCTTCCTTTCCACCTATCGATTGTGGAGTCCTCCACTGAACTGTATAACCTTCGGGCCATCATTGCCTCCTCCATATCCTCACCTATGCAGGACATGCTGAATATATTTTTAACCTCTACAGCATAGCAAAATCTGTTCTTTTCTGCCTGATGGCTAAAATTCTCATTCATGCCTTTATAGGATTCAAGGCAGAGAGTAGTCTCCTCCCCCCCTGCCAGCTGCCCTGAAAGTAGGATATCCAATTCCAATGATTCTGTCCAATACCAATCTGTGGCATATAAAAGCCTATGAGGGAGTTCTTATTAGCATTAAAATTGATGCGTTTTTCTCATATGTAATTGAGACTGCACGAATATAGATACAGATCTCAAACCTGCCTTTTTTAATCTTGAAAGTAAAGCTAAATATTACTATTAAAACATAAAACCCTATTCAGATTACATGAAAATTGATGTTTTCCATCGCTACCCCATATGCAATCATGTCTCCACGCAGAACGTAGTTTTATTTACTGTGAGCAAACATTTCCCTTTCAGGGAAAGAAAGCAAGCAGAGATAGTCATCTCTGCCTGGCAGAGCTCAGTTGAGCTAGGAAGACTGCAGGTTTCGGAGAGATTCAGGATTAATTTATTCCCCCCCCACATCTGAGGGGACTCGAGCCTCTCTTACTTCCCAGGAGTTACTCTCGAGCACTCAACCAGGCTTTGCAATTCTAGCGCTCGATCACTTATGGTGATACAATCCACAGTCTGAACAAAATGCTCATGGTGGTGGGGACTGGAGCCCCACCTTTGAGGAAAGAGGAGACAGCAAACAAATAGGTAGTGCTATTCCAGTCTTAAATTTGAAAGAGAGAGGGAGAGAATAGGACCAGTCAGCCTCCAGGGGGTGGGGGAAGCAGCAGTTAACGCTCCTCTGGTACAAGTCAGATCAAACTTGTTGCTTTCTGAGTATTAAGAGTCGAAGGAAAAATCCAATATCCACAAAATATTACCACTACCACTGATGCAACACACTAGCCCCATACCAATGTCACATTTACCAAAAAATATTTAACAGAAGGAGAGACGCACCTCATGCTATACTGCAAAAACCTTATCTCAGACCTCAATGACAGCTGTAACAACAGAGGAGTGATAAGGGAGCTGCAGTCAGATTTGTTAGTCATTTGTAATAACAGCATGAGGTCAGATCAGAATGAAGGCTGTGAGCTTTATCTTTAGTATTGTGGCTTGAGCAGAAGCGCATTTCTGGTTCTAAGTCTTGACCACAGGAGCCCTAAAACAGAGCATTTGGTTTCTATTCCCTATCCAATTTCACTGCTGCCCTACACTGCGGCTTACTCTTCCTTCCTTTCTCTTACACTTACCATCACAGCTCTCGGAAAGGGGAAAAAAGATGTATATTACTTTTTTCTGGCCCAGAGGTCCACGGATTCATCTTCTGTACTATTACACAGCAATATTATTTTTAAAACTGCTTTTAAAAGCTTCAGAACCACCTGGAGAATAAACTTTTTCTAGAGGCAGCATAAAGCAGCCAGAGACTAATCTCTGGTCTCCAAGCTGTTAGATTCCTGTGACAGCTTCTGCTATTAGCTAATCTATCAAGATGATCTTTTACACAGGCACTTAATGCCTGTATTTTAGTACTATACATGCTAAATCTCTTCATTAAAATAAACACACTTAAAATCTATTACTAAGGGAATGCTTTTACTGTTAACAAACTCCTATCGAGCTCTAGCCTTGTTTTCACTGCTCTGAGTTAAGTGTGCCATAAAAGAAGTTATCTGCCACTACTGCAAGGAGGGGAAAAGGCCATTGATCCTTCCGATGTTACAGTGCTCTCCTGGTTTCATACCTTTTCCAAAAAATATCATGGACATGCTGCTCTGTTAAATCAGCCTCTCTCTGTAAATCAGCACGACAATCAATAGATAGTGCTAAACAGTAGGCAGTTCTGAACATCCCAGAGGTCAAAAACTTAACTCTCAGGGCAAAATAAATCAATGCATCTATAAAACAGCTCTAGCTAGAAAGCAAGAGAATCCGAATATACATATATTTTTTCCTCCAAAGGAATTAATACTTGGCTCTTGGGAGACAATAGTGCTATCTTCTCTCCTCCCCCTAGTTTTGAAAAGACAGACATGAAAAACAATCTTCTCTCCAGCATTTCTTTCCGAACACACAGAAAAAAAACACATGAACCCCTCAGTCAGTTCCCTCACTCTGTTGTTGCCTGCCCGAGTCTGACAGCTCTATCGATATTTTTCCCAGGACTGTAGAATAAGCATTCTCAGATGGCCAGCTCAAATGGGACAGAGCATTCGCTGCTGAAACATCCCATATGTGATATGTCACTTGATCATAGCTGTAAAACGTTCCTTTTCTCCTTCTACTTCTATTAAATGCTTTCTTAATCAGATTTGGTCAAAACACAAATTGATTTGCTCCATGCTCTAGGTACGAGTTTACACCTAGATAAAGAGCTATAATATTAACAGAAATAAGGAACTAATTTAAACATAAACAGTATCTGAAATCACTAGGGAACCTTCCATCACACAACTGAGATCAGAGTAACTCACTGACATCTGAATACTTATTTGTACACCTTAAAATGCTCTGCTTTGGCTCCAGGCTTCTAGAGCAAGTTGTGTGAAAATACAGGACAAAACTGAGACAGATAATCATCTACTCAGTAAGAAGCATCAAGCATGCTTCCTGGGGCTAGATCCACCTGTGATCCCTATGACCCACCCCTGCTGCCCTCAGGTGTTACACATGAGCATGTTGAGATCAAAGATTTTCCTAGCAGCCTGCAGCCCCCAAAGGTTGCTTGTATTTTCCCCATCACATAGAAAGGGCTCACCTCCGTTTTATTCATAGCAGACTTGTACCTAGTCACGCAAGCAACCTCTCGTCATATAATCCAACAGACGTGCTCATTCCCATATGACTGAAAATGTATCTTGAACTGAGACAGCCGCATTTGGTTTTGGGGCAGACACGTCTGGCCACCTAACTGAACAGAAGCTGTAGAACTGTGTTCTTCGCTGTCTCCATAGCGGACCTTATGGCCTACCCTGGCTGAAAAGCTGCATACCATTAGGAGCACAAAACATAGCTTCTCCTCGACTACTTTCTAACTCAAATTTAATTTTAAAAAGGGCCTTCACAGAAGAGATTAGTAAATTATCACAAAATTGCCCACTCAGTCCTTCAGAGTTGCTTTTAGGCAGTGGCTAAATATCCTCTTCAGCCCTGGCAGTACTATTTGATCACTTCTGTTGCTAATCAGCTGTTTTTTTTTTGTTTTTTTGTTTTTTTTTAAAAAACTGACCTTTGGCTGGAAATTACTACCTTCATAGCTTTGCCAGTATCCTCCTCTACAGCAGTGCCCCGCTCAGTAGCGCCTTCAGCCCACACAGCACTTTGCGAGAGCAGTGTCTGCCTGCAGCTTCCCAGAGCCGAGGCTTGTGGTCAGAAGTTGGATCTGGTTGTCTTTGTATTCCTCCTAAGTTCTTAGGCTCTACAAGAGCCAAGTGACATCAGGAATTCTATTTTTGTCTTACAAAAAGCCACAATCTGCTTCCTAAAAGGACAGAGCCTAGCATGCACGCGGTGCACACACACCCACACAGGTGAACTTGCACAACTGTGTCTATGAAAAGGACTGAAGAGTGCCAGGAAGCAAGGGCTACCAACTTTTTAACCTACTTAAAAGAAAATACTTACGCAGAGACAATTTCTTCCCCACTCACAAATTTCGCGTAGGAGACTGCCTTGCGATGCCCTTTGAACACCATGATTGGCTGCTTAGTGTTGCGAAGATCATAGTAGTGAACACAGTGATCTGGAGATGAGAAGAAAGAGGCAAAATTTATTTGATGCAAAAGATGCAGGGGATCTCTTAGAGTTAAATCAGCTCACGACAGAAGTCCTGACTACAGCTTTCACATCTCAAAGCCTCTTCTAGGATAAACAGTCTGCACGCTATATGAAAGGAGTGTTTAGACCCCAAATCCTGTCCATAAGGGTCCAAGCAGCCTTTCAAAGAGTCAGGGCGGGGAAGGCGCGCATGGGCATGCACGTGTCCTCGTCCAAGCCCTATTTAGCCCGTTCCTCACACATGCAAGACAGCATCTAACAGGACTCTCATTACTCCTGTCTTTCCTTTCCTGGCTCTGTGCCTGGCCATTCGAATTGCCTGTTTCCAGTCCCGTGCCCCTCTCCCCTCCTCAATCTGTTCCCTTTTGAAAAAGGAAAGAAGCCTAAGCTAAAGACTCAGTCTGTCTGCTACTTGATTTGGATCACGGAAAACACGGACTAAATTTCTCACGCGTGTCCTAAACGCGTAGCCTCTGTTTTTCTGCTTTCCTTCTCTTCTGTCCTTTGATTTCATTACAAATCAAGAGAGAATTAGCATTTCTGCTAACGAGAGAACAGAGACTAAACTCCAGCTCTTCTTCAGAACTAATTCACAGATGTGCTGCACTGCCACAACCACATAAAGGAGCTGCAACAGAACTAGTGATACAGTTTATTTTCTGCACAACTAAATGTCAACTCCCAAGAAAAAAAAAAAAGAATAAAAAAAGAGTAGAAAGCCCCACAAGAGAGATACGCCCCAAACACCCCAGCACTCTCTTCAGCTCAGTAAGGTTAATAAGCTCTTTCCTTCCCGACTTTCAATCTTTAATGTTGAACCTCATTTAATTAGCTACTGCTACCCTGGAAGCAGAGGGAGAGGAAAGCCACATGAATGCGCTGCAACCAAGTTGGAAGCCTCTGTTCGCACCAACTCGCAATAGCCAGAGATCAGCTGAAAACTGTTCTGACCCTCCTCCCACTGAAACAACAAAACATCAATGGAAGGTCATCATAAAGATTACTTATAAATGAATCTGAATGCCAAAAGCTACAGTTATTCTTATATTTGCTCAACATTTCAAAGCAGTGTTTGAGCCTTACAAGCAACACTCAGCTGTCTCAAAATCCCATGTGGTTTGAGAGATAACTGGATTTACACTGATCAGGCTACAGCTGAAAACACTGATTTTGGGCAAGCAAAGGTAGCTTTCCACCTGTCTTAACAGGCAAATTGGTGGCCACGGCAGGACAGGTGGTTTTGTCAGAAACATCTTCAATTAGAGGCAAGCAGGCAAGTCGTCTTCCACTCAAAATTTGACTATTTCACTCAGCAGCTACTGAGCCTGTTACTGCTAATACTGAAACAGTGGGAAGTGCTGTACCCGCAAGCACTCTTGCGAACGCTCCTACCTCTAAAGTGTTAACCCTCAGAAGAGCCAACACTCCTGATCAAAATCCCAGAACATTCCTAGGCTGACATTTTAATTGCCTTTAGAACAAAATGATATTGCAACAGACTTATACAGCAAGGTGATAATCTTCAAAGGGATTTGGAATTAAGCGTTCGCATTCGTTTAACAAGATCTGGGCATCTAACTCCCCTCCACCTCTCTGAAAACTTGAGCCAGAAGACTATGCGTTCTCTACTCAGGCCGGCGTGCAAACTCAGAGACCTACGAAACAGTTAAATGACAATTGTTATTTTAATGAGCAGAATGATTCTAGCAAGGCTTTCCATTAGGAGCCAGTTAGTGGATAAGCCTTTTAAGTCTATTTTTGTTCAGCATTTCAGCCTCCTCTCCAGCTGGACTGTCATTAGGATACCTTTTGAGCACTTCAGATTTTATCCCTCAGAGGATGAGGCAAGGCAAGTTGTACCCGTGGATGGCTTGAAGGAAAACATATGTATAAGCAGCTGAAATAACACCGAAAGGAAAGAGATATAGCAGGAAAGACAAGCCCATTTGCAGCAAAGAGACACAAAGTTGCATTCACCTGCTCAATATCGCAATGAACAGCTGGAAGGCTGCTGGCATCTGGCCCCAGCACAACGTGCCTCTCTGCGTCGGCAGCGCAATCAATCACTGCCCGCTCCGATCAGGACAAGTCCGAGGGAATGGCCAGTGGGTTCTAAAATTAGCCACTTAATAATTAATTGATTATTTCAGCAGCTGAAGGGTTGGTACCCAATTGAGTTTTTTTATTCAATTGAAGTAGCTATTTTTAAGTAGATATATCAAGACAAATGCTCACTGCATTCATTAAAATCAGAACAGGTGGCCACGTTTTACAATTAAAGAGATAGTCTCACTTTTAGGCCATATGGCCTTTCAGAAAACAAGATAAAAATGCCATCTGCTGAAGAAGCAGAGATCTTAAAAACGAAGTTAAACGAAGAAAAAATACACTCCCCAGGTACTCTGGTAGAAGCCTCTCATGGTGAATTCTGATGAACTGAAATCGCCTGTAATTGGCGGCATCCCTGGCACCCTGCCGACGCGTCCGAGATGGACGGTGGAGCATTCTGGAAAGTTCAGAAAAGGAAGCAATCGCAAGAGGCAACGCAAGGTAAGGGAAACAAAAAAACCATGCACATCGAGGGAAAGTGAGCAGTTCCCCGAACTCTGCAAGTGCTCTTAAATCCGCCCGGAATTTGCTCCCCTCTGCAGCATTCCTAGAAGGCCTCAGAGCGCTCTCAGCTGCCAACCAGCACTGCACATGTACTTATTTGCTTCTTGTTTTGCTCCTCAAACACGAGCACCAAAATGATCTAAAAGCACTCAGCAAATTTTTGCAGCTCTGTTTTCCGTTCCGGACCAGAACGCACGCTCGCTCAGAACAATTTCAAGCTGGAAACAGCATTTCCACTGTGAAAAGCCTCATGCCTAACCCTTGGGCACCAACAGCTCACTGCCTTACTTGCTTTTTCTTCTGCATTATGGCTTAATGGAAGTATATACAAGATAATGGGAAAGAATAGGTATATATAGTATAACGGACTAAAGTCTCCGCAGCGATTCTTGCCTAATTCAGTGTCAGCAGGGAAGCTGGGCATGACAGAATCTGGCTGCTGTTCCTTCCAAATTCAAATTTCTTCTGGCAGGTCATATTACAGCCATTTTTTTTTTTTTTAAATCATCTCAGGGCAAAAAGGGCAGCTCAGCTCTGCTAGCGCTGCCGAAAGGTCTCAGACCACAAGCCCGAGTTATTAAATAGTGCTTTTTTCAGAATGTGCAGAAACTGCTTACTTCCCTTAAGCAGACTTACTCTTTCACCTTTGGGCCGTCAAGTGACAACTAGTCAAGCATTCAGACTTCTTGCCGGGAGTGCTGACAAGTCTAACAAAACTTTAGAAAGACCTCACAAGCTCTTCAGGAAATATAACCTGTGTCAGCAAAGAACGGCATCACTCACTGCTCATCAGCTCATAAATTAGCAAGACTTCAGCCATCGAGAGCAGAGTCGGGAGCAGGGCAATGGGAAGGACAGTCCTGCCATGTGCATGGTGAGGAGAGGAGCTCCTCAGAGCCTCGGGCACCGGGCTCAGTTTGTGCTGGGGAGGGGGCACGTGGAGAGAAGATGAAATGGCCACGCGATTACACAAATTTTAAGAGATCAAGTTAAAAAAAATTACAAAAGGAGAACTGAGAATTACTAATGGTTCCAGTTACACCTTAGATAATTCCAGAACTGCTCAGGAAAGTGCAAGTGTTTTTGGATTTTTGGTTTTTAAACAAAAAGAGTCAAAGTCCGTTTTTGCCAAAAGCGGTTTTCCTTGTGCCTAGAAAGACTGTTAATAAAAATTGCGAAACAGCTATTATGAGAAACCTTTAAGTGCAGATCACCTATTACAAAGCTGCTAAGATTTACTGAGGGGTGGCAACTCCAGAAAGCATTCTCAGGTAGACAAGGGTGAGGAAAGTAACACAAGGCAGCAGGTTTTTTTTTTACATTTCACTGAGTGCTGGTACATCTGGAGTAGTGACACACACAGACTGAAGAGCAGAGCAATTCAACTCTCCAGACACCCAGCAGTTCCAGGTAACGTTCATCTTCCACGTCACACGTTTCAGTCACTTTCACCATGAACATTAACCAGTCTACAGCTCTAGCCAGCTCACAGGCCTTCCAAGGCTTTTTTCAACTGAAACCAACTTACTGGAAGGGACATCAAGCTAAAGACAGAAAAAACAAAGTTTACCTGCAATGCAACAGTTTTATATTCAGAGGAAGCTACTGTAAAGTTCCCAAAGCTGAACAAAAAGATCCTGTGACTCCCCACCAGGAGACTAAACTATCAAAAAAGAAGTTTGTTTTCTAATTTTGACCATGCCTAGGAATGCATACTTCTCAACTGTCCAACATTTAGATTATTGATCCATTCAAAAAATGAGTAATTTACATTGTTCTCAATTTAAGTGCTTATATACTTGAGATTGTAAGTGGTGCTTGCTACTACATTTCAGAGGAAGGCTACAGCCAAGAAGATACCCATATTCAAAAACAAAGTTGTAGGGTAGGGAGCCAGTAGGTATAGAAGCAGATGTTCAAAGCTGCCTACAAGAAAAAATGCCATTTTTAAGTGTACTGAAACAAAATAGATTAAAGTTGACTAACTCTGAGATTTTCTTTTTAAAAACAGATGTTAAAAAAGTGATCCATTAGGAACCTTCTGTTATCAAAGCACTTTTTTTTTTTTTTTTTTAAAAGATCAAGATCTTCCATACCAAACTTGGCAGTCATTTTCATTCTAAATATTAAACTTCTAGCTACAGCCTGCAGAGTCCTACATGCCTCATGCTACAGCTGTTCTACCAAAATGGGAGAACAGACTAGAACATAACCTCTATATTTCTTTGATGGTGGTGATCCATTTGCTTCATTTAGTGTCTCAGGTCATTGGCTGATGATTCTGAGATTTGTCCATTTGTTTTTCTTCATACGAAATTCAAGTTTGGATCAATACTGCCTGTTTTTACCCCA